TGTCCACGACATCTTCCCCATCTCAGAAAATGGGAGCCATCCTGCTGGAGGACCACCCCTCCCGAGTGCAGCTGTGGTCAGGAGCAGGAACACAGCCACTGCCCCAGAGGAGAGCAGGGAGAGCCCAGGGAAAAAATTCCCCAACATCTTTCCTCCTGCTCTTCATCTGCTGGTGGTGCCTCTCATTGTCTAAACCCAACCGAAGCCTGAGGGCAAGGAAGCCCAGGAGATGGGATATATAAAGCCATTCTTGACACTCTCCTCTCACACTACACATCCAATCCTTCAGCCAAACTTGTGGGCAATACCTTCAAAATAGACCCAGAGAACCCAAGGTTGAGTAAGGATATTGTTGATGTGTTGTGAGATTGTTAACCATTGTCATAGGGCAACATTTGTAGTAACTGTTAAATGAGAAACTATTTTGTTCTGTAAGCCTTCATCTTAAGTGAGAATAACAGCACAATTGGAAGAGCGTAGTCAATGTCACTGAACTGTGCATGTAGAAATTTTTGAAATGGTGTATCTTTGGCTATGTGTATTTTCACCAAAAAAAAAGGTTGAGAAGTTAGAGGGTTGACATGTTGTGGGGTTGTTAACCAATGTCATAAAACAATATGTGTACTACTGTTTCATGAGAAACTATTTGTTCTGTAAGCCTTCACCTGAAGTACAATAAAAAAAAATAAAATAAAAAATAGACCCAGAATCTGATCACTTCTCACCACCCCCACAGTGACCACCCTAAATCAAGCCATTTTCATCTTTTGCCTGGATGACTGCCATCAAATCCAATGGACCTCCCTCCCTTCATACCTCATACCTCAACACCACTCCTCTGCTCAACACCTCCCCTCCTACCCAGAGAAAAAGCCAAGTTTTTACAGTGGCCTAGGAGGCACTAAAAGACTTGCTCCCTGACTCTCTGACTCATTTCCTGCTTGCTCACTCTGGTCATACTGGCTTTTTTGCTGTCCCAAGTAATCTACTGCCTCAGGGCCTTTGCCCTGGCGGTTTTCTCTGCTTGGAATACTTTCCCCACAGATATCCTTAGCCACAGCTTGCTCCATCACTTCCATCCAGTCTTTGCTCAGATGTTTTCTTCTCAGTGAGGCCTGTGTGCTTCCCTGTTTGCTCCAACCCCGCCCCAGATCCATTTAGGCTTTTCTCCTGCTCTGGCCTGGGGACAACAACCCCTGTCAACCCCATCACCTGGGCTTTCTTGCCCTCAGGCTTCTGGTTGTGTTTAGATTATGGGAGGGAGGTGCTGCCAGGAGGAGAAGAGCAGGGGAGAGAGATGTTGGGGTATCTTTTTCCTGTGTTCTCCCTGCTCTGCTCCCGGGCAGTGGCTGTATTCCTCCTCCTGACCACAGCTGCACTCGGGAGGGGTGGTCCTCCGCTCCAGCTCCCACCGACCTCCAATAACGTAATTTCCTCCCTTTGCCTTTCAGTCCTCAGAATGGTAACCTCTTCTGGCTGTTGCTGGTTGCGGGTGCCTCAACAACCCTTTTGGTTCCTAAACCCTGCTGTGCCTCTAGTCCCTTCACTGAAGACTTGAACCACTAGATTCAGTTTCCTGCCAAACCCTGATTGAAACACCTGCTGGATCACCCTATTCACAGTTTCCAACCCCACCCTGTGTACCGCGAATTCGCACTACCCATTCTGTACTTGTTCTTCTACACACTACATATCACCATCTAACATATGTTTATTTTTTTCTACCCCCCACATCCTGAAATGGAAGGTCCTACGGTGCAGGGATATTTATCTGTTTTGTTCACTCTAGTATCCCCACGGCTCAGGACAGTGCTTGGCACATAGCACGTTGTCAGCTATTATTTATTAAATGAATGAATGAGCGAACGAACGACCTACAGACAGAGGAGCCGCGGAGAAAACAGCCTTGTGGTCCACGCGGAAGGCAGAAGAGCTGACTCTCTATTTCTTCCCTCCTCTCCCCGCCCCCGCCTGGAACGCTGAGTGGCGGGGAAAGAGTTGGAAATGAGCGCGCTCAGTGGCCCTCCAGCCGGGTGTTTACTTAATTAGGGCCTGTATCCCTAGGCTCGTTTGTGTTTAACTGTCCGTCTAATAGCTTCTTCTGGCTCCGGCTGGGCGCAGGAGAACTTGCCAGGCGAGGATACGCCCTGCCATGCAGCCCCGTCTGGGGCCTGCGCCGCGCCTCCCCCTCGCGTGGCTGTTAACTTCCCCTCCTTCACGGACAGCGCCCCCTGTAGGAGAGCGAGGCGAGCAAGGCGAGGGTTGGCGCGCAGCTCAGCGAGCTTTCGTGGGCTTTTTCTGCGCACTGTCCAGCTTGCAGAGTGCTGGTGGTGCCGTGGTTAAGAGTTCGGTTGCTAACGAGACGGTTGGCAGTTCGAACCCAACAGCCGCTCCCTGGAAATCCTATGGGGGCGGTTCTATCCTGTTCTATAGGGTCGCTATGAGTCGGAATCGACTCGAAGGCAAAGGGTTTGTTTGGTTTTTTTTTTTTGGTCCCGCCTTGATCCCCAGCTACTGGGACCACAGAGCGGATAACGGAGCGCTCCCGTGATGCCAGATGCCAATTGCTCGCTTTACCCTCAGCCGTGAAATTGAAGGATTACAGCTTTCCTAGTCATTTTAGCTGGGGAGTGTGAGGGTGCTAGAGGAGAGAAATGGCTCACGAGGCGGAGCAGGCCAAATGAGCCAGATCCTAGAGCAATAACACCAAAATTTAAGCACTAGCTGTGTGCCAGGTACTGAGTTTAGCGTTTAGAATGTGTTAATTTACTTAATCCACGTCTGTATATATTGCAAATCTGCTGCAAAAGACCTCTTTAAAATGTTAAAAAGCAAAGATGTCCCTTTAAGGACTAAAGTGCACCTGACCCAAGCCATGGCATTTTCAGTCACCTCATATGCATGCGAAGGCTGGACAATGAGTAAGGAAGATAGAAGAAGAATTGATGCCTTTGAATTATGGTGTTGGCGAAGAATATTGAAAATACCATGGACTGGCAGAAGAGCGAACAAATCTGTCTTGGAAGAAATACAGCCAGAATAGTTCATAAAAACGAGTCTCACATACTCACGTAGTTTGGACACGTTATCAGGAGGGCCAGTCCCTGGAGAAGGACATCATGCTTGATAGAGGGTCAGCGAAAGAGAAGACCCTCAACGAGGGAGATTGACACAGTGGCTGCAACAATGGGCTCAAGCATAGCAAGGATTGTGAGTCGGGCACAGGACCTGGCAGTGTTTCATTCTGTTGTACATAGGGTCGGTATAAGTCGGAACCGAATGGACGGCATCTAACAACAATAACATATGTATCAACTAATTTAATTCTAGTGTTTTAAAGAAGGAGTACCCGGGCAGTGCAAACGATTAAGCACCAGAATGGCTGGAAGTTAGAACCTACCCAGAGGCGCCTCAGAAGACAGGCCTGAAAACCTTATGGAACAGTTCTATTCTGCGCATATGGGGTCGCTATGAATCGGGAATCCACTAATAACAACACTTTAGAGGGTAGGTGTCACATAATAGCCCCGTTTGTTTGACAGATGCAAAACGGAGGGGTATTTCACCTGCCTGAGTCCACAGTACTAACAAGGGGTGGAATAGAGATTTGACCCCAGGCAGTCTGGCTCCAGAGCCGCTGCTCAGCTAGAAAAAGGACTCCCACTGTCGGCTGCTAACGCAGCCATACACCCCTTAGCCACAGGCCTGCTTACAGGAGGGATGGGCGGGGTCACCAGGTTAGACCTAGAGGGCCAAAGAATCTATAATTAGAAACTCCAATTCTCCTCTTCAAACCCCTGAATCTGAGCTGGGTGGGTGGGAGGAAGGAGGGGTCAGCTGGGGTTCTCAAAGCATCTGGGGTAGGGGAGGGGAATTTAGGGAACAAGGGGGCGAGGCTGGCCGGAAAAGTTCAGCTCAGTGGGAAAGGGCTCGCGGGCGAGTGATTGAGTCTCAGGACTGTTTTTAGGCCCGGGGAGCCCACTTCGTGTGTCCCGAAGAGTAAAGCACTTCAGGTCTAAAATAGAGGAATAAGGGCTCGAATCCCAGTTCCGCCTCTTATCTTGCAGGAAATGGGCAGGAGAGCTGTTTTTGAAGCGAGAACCCAGGGATGGCTGCTTCGCACAGCTAGCAGGGTATTTCAGGCCTATAAAAACCAGCCGCATTTTTAAAAATGCCTTTATTTACACTCTTCATAAAGTTGAGAAAACGTCAATTTATACTGGGGAACAGATTATAGGGCTTATAACCACCCTTCCTACCTCTCACTCTTTGGCGCCACCATGGCTTCCAAACTCTGGGACCGAGGGCGAGTCATTTCTCTCCCAGCCTCCATTTGCTCAGCTGTGAAATGGGAATAATGATTCTCCCTCCAGTTGGAGGGCTTTGTAGCAAATTATCGAACGTGGTTCCTCAGGAACTCACTGCCAGTTTTAAACCCTGGGGCACTCTGGACCGGCGCGCGTAGCGGGGTGGAGAAAAAGGCAGAGCGCAGCCTCGGCTGTGGCTGGGGGTGGGAGGGGCACACCGGTCTCCATCAAAGCATTTGGATAACAGAGCACCTCCAAGGAGTATAAACGGGGCGCCTCAGTTTTCTGTCAGCTTTAGATACGTCTCTGTGTAGCCGCAAGACACAGAAACGTTTTTCTTCCCGCGCTGCGGAGGTAGCAGAGTTTTGTTTTGTTTTTTTTTTTCCTGGAACTCAGAGCCCAGACATGGGCTGAGCCCTACAGGGAGCAGCTCCCGGAAATCCGAGAGAACGCAGGAGGGAACCAGGGAGGGCAAGAGGGGCTCCACCGTAGCGGTGACCGCCGAGGCCGCGGCCCCACCTGCGAGGGGGCGAGGCCTCACGGCGCTGGGCCAATCAGCACTTACCTGCGCTTACCTGGCCTCCTCCCCATCGCTTCGACTAGCCGCGGTGCTCCAAGCGACCCGACGAGCTTAACCGAGCACCAGTCTGCACTCGCTGCAGCCTCTTAGCCTCTTCACCTCTCTCTCCTGCCATGAGGCTCCCTAGGGGGCCTCTTGCGTCCCTCCTGTTCGTCGCCGTCCTCCTCAAGGTACTCCGCTGCCTTACCCTTGCCCCGGCCGGGACTGCTCCCTCGGGGGCGGGTGGGGTCCTCACGCGGCGTTGGCGTCGGGGAGAGAGCGGGGCTCAGCTCCTTGAGGCCAAGGTAGTCTGGGAGGCTCCGTAAGGACTCCCCAAGGTGGGATGTGCAGGACTGGGCATGCCTGTGACCTAGCTCCTGTCTTTTTCCCTCTTCCCTCGGGCGCAGGTTTGCTGGCCACGGTGCGCGGCCTCCGAGCCGTGCCGGGCGGGCTTCGGGGAGGCTGAAGTGACCTTGGAGGCGGGAGGCGCAGAGCTGGGGCCAGGCCAGGCACGGGGAAAAGGTAAGACCCTTTGGGAGTCCGCCTGAGTGAAGGGGTGGGGCGGAGGCCGCATGTGGTCTGCTCCGGTGTGGCCGGGACTTAGGGCGTCCAGGATGGGCCGGGGGACTTCTGGCGCCGCCTCAAGTCCGGGGGAGGCGCAGAAAGCTCCTGGGGGGCGGGAGTAGAGACCCGGCGGCTAACAGAGAAACGCCCCCTAGTCGTCCAATCCCCTCCTTGCCCCGCCGCAGTTGCTTACCTTGACCCCCTCCTTTGGGGTGCGGGGCGACCGTTCCTCTCACCCAGTCCCCACGTGGGAAGCTCCGCCGGCTGGCCCCAGCGGAGGAATGCGCCGTCCACATTCCTTCTCCCACCCCCGCGCAGGTGTGGGGATGAGCTGTGCCCCGGGCAGGCCCCCTTCGCCCCTCTCGGGCCCCCTTTGTGAACCTTGCTTTGTGACTCCAACCGACAGACGGGGTCTGTTTCTCTTCTTCTCACTCCCCTCCCCCGCCCCCTTCTTCCCCGGCAGCTGGAATGCACTCTTAACCCTGCTCTTCCCGGAGGGCTTGCGCCCCTGCAGCCTGCCTGGGAACTAGGCCTGGCACTGGCATACTTGGGCTGGGGCTATCACGCACAGGGAACACCCCATCCCCAGGGTCTTGGGGCTGGGATGTTAGGTCATTTAGTAAACTCGGGGTTGTCCCAAGCCAGCAGGTCTTGGGCTACAGGGCTGTAGATGGTAGATCAAAGCACCTTTTTGATCTCCCAATTACTAGCCACCCCGCCCCCCACAGTTCAAAAACTTGAGAGTGGGTTCACTTGGTGCAGAGAATCAGTGTATTAAGACCCAGGCAGCTGCCGACTGGTGGGGGTCCCTCCCCTTTCAGGCGGGGAAGATGGCGAGGGGAGGTTTCCTCTGTGAGAGCAAACCCAGATTCGTAAACAGGGGTGCTTAACCAGAGATCCTTGGACGTGGTTCCGGAGGATCCTCAAACTGTGTAACTGTTTGAGAACTTGTGGGTGCATTTTTCTGGGGAGGGAATCCACAGTTTACCTGGCTCTCAAAACAATTGAGAACCGCTGCCACCTAGGATTTCTCTAATGGCTCCGTCAGTATACCCCCACCCCAGGTACCAATTCCCACTGCTTGGCCTGAATGTGGGGGTGCTCTGTGATGAGGGAACAGAATGGCTCTGCTTTGTCTCTCCAAAAGAGGATTGGGGGTCTTGACTCTGTGGAAGCCTTCTTCCCCGCTTTCCCCAAATAACTCTGCAGATCGACAAAACAATTAACACCCAGGCTGGGCCAGACTTCTTAAACCCTGGGCTGTAGGGAGCTGAGGAGAGGCATGAAGAGGTCATGCCTCATAAACTTTAAATTCTTGCACATGGGTTTATAATGGGCTGACTAACAAACAGCAACTCAGCCAACCTGTAAAAATGTTAACTCAGACAGGGCCCTAAATCCAATTCCGGCTCCCCGAGGAAGCTTTATTGCTAACCAGACCTCTGCCATATCTACCCCCCGCCCCCCACATCCCCCATTGTCAAGTTCTCTGACTCCAGTCTCTGAGAGCAGGCTGTGGCTTTGAGTGTTGTCTGTGCCTTATCTTTCTTACTGAAGCAAGAAATATCAGATTAGCTGTCACTTCACTAGGCTTGAGGTTGTTGGGGGGGAAGCGGTGATCAGGTTTTTGATTTCATGGTTGAGTTGGCGTGTGCTTCCTGGTGATGTCAGGCATTTTAAACCTTTTGAGGAAATTCAGTGTTTTCGGGTGTCTGGTTTATGGTTGTGAGAATGGTATGTTCCCTGCCAGGAGTACACCTGGGTTATAAAACAAAGAGTGGGTTAATGTGCTTGGCTCACCTGGAGTCTCCCTGCCCCATGACTGGTTCTTAGAATGAGTTTCCTGTGGAATGGGCTGCCACTTTTTTTTTTTTTTTTTTTTAAGGTAAAAATGAGTTTCTGGGCTCAATTGGTTCCAAATAAATTGGAACTTCCCAACAACAGCACAAAAATAAAATATTGGTGTTTCTCCCCGTGGTCTTCAGCTTCTATCTCCCCCTTCCACCCGCCAGCTCCCCATCCTCTATACACAGCAGCCACAGCCTGGATCCAGTGTTGAAGAAGTATCCTGAGGGTACATACAAACTCTCAAGTTTGGCCAAGTAGACAACAGTTTCCATATTGCTAAGGAACAATTGCCACTGTTGTTTGCCCCTGGGTTATGAATATCACGGGTGTCTATGAAGTTGAGCTCAAAGAAATTATCTGATGTAATTAATAACTTGTTTGTATGTGCATCTTCCTCTTCAAAGCCCTTCTGCAACTCTAAGCTTGCTTTATCCTCCTAACATTCCCTTGAAGCCAGTAAGGTAAATATTAAACAACTTGAGCTCTTAATCTCAGAGTTGAGACTTCAGAAACAATGTAGCCCAGCCCTGCTGGAGGTCACACTCTCTGATGTGGCCTGTCTCTAGTCTTTATAGACCTATGAAGAAGGAGGTCTTAAAGGCGGAGAAATGGTGGCACAGCTTCTTTGAGGGTTGTAGGTATATGCCTAGGACCTGGTACTTAAAATATGCACACTAGGTATTTGCACAAATCGTGACAACCTTGTGAAGGATGGCCCATTTTACAGATGAAACTTAAGTGGTTGTGGCTTCACCAAAGTCTTATCACTGCAGTGGCTAGTTGGGACTTGAGTAGAAGTTTCCAACCCGAGTTCTGTAGCACTTTTTAATACCAGAAAATGGGAAGGAGAGTGGAATGAAAAAGTAGAATATTAGAGCCCTGAATCCTGCAGCCACCAATAATAACCACCTACCCCAAGAGCACTCAGACATTTATTCCCTTTTATTATAGGGTTTTCCAGAAACATTCTGGTAGAGGGAACTGACTTGGTGATGGGGGCTTGAGTCAGGTGAAGCTGGGCTTTACTAGAGTAACAGTGAGAGGCTACTCTGGAGGGGAGTGGGGCAGGAACATTGCCCTGCCCAGACCTCACAGTCTGGAGTCCTGCCTTGCTTCAAGTATCCTGTGAAGCAAAGACAAAGGAGAGGTGCAAGGAGGGAACTTGAATGGTATTAGTGCAGTGACCTAAAGTGGTCTAAACATCTCCCTACCAAAAAAAAAAAACCCCATTGCTGTTGAGTCGATTCCCACTCATAGTGACCCTATGGGACAGGGTAGAACTACCCCATAAGGTTTCCAAGGAGCGGCTGGTGGATTCGAACTGCTGATCTTTTGTTAGCAGCTGAGCTCTTAACCACTGACCCACCAGTGATCCTAAAGTGGTCTACCCATCCTTAATGGCAAACAATTATTTTGACCCCTCAGAGGGTTCAAAGGTCCTTTAGTTGGTCTTTGGGTAAGATTGAAAGCTAACGGTCTTCAGCTTTGGTAGGATTCTGGGTGTGAGTTAACTTCAAAATGGTTTTTGCTCCTTATTTTGGGTTTTGGTGTAAAAAATATTTTTTTTATTTTGGAGCCCCTACTCTGGGCCATGCCCTCTATTTACATTTCACTTTTTCAGTAAACACTTATTTACTGTTTCTAGAATTATTAGAGCTGAAGCAATGGACAAAACAAAGTCTTTGCCCTTGGGGAGCTTACATTCTAATATTAGTTTCTTTTTCTGCTTATGACCGCCTTGCAAAGCAGGTGATGATAACTTCCCCTCAGCTATAAAATGGGGTTAAGGGACTTGGAGTAAAGTCAGTGCGGCAGCCAGCTGTAAGACCAGGATTTAAACTTTGGTTATCTGCCTCTATGGCCAAGGGGATTCCACAGTGCCCCATAAATCTGCCACTGAGGAATGAATGTTTGGGAGCCTGGGTTTTGAGCCTGGCCAGCTGCCTTCCTGGCTCAGCGGCAGAGTAGGGTTTGTTGCTGAAGACTCTGCCCTACATCACCATTAGCTTGTGCCTGGGGAGCAGGTCTCAAACCTCTAGTCTCCCTTCCCACCGCCTCAAATGACACTCTGTTCCTAGGTTACCCAGTGCAGGGTGTCCTCACCTCCTTGCTATGTAAGGAAGGCATTGCTCATGATGGACAAAGAGTTGCTAGAGCTGGAAACTACAGCTCTGCAAAGCAGTTAGAGGATGATGGAGGAGATGAAGAGAGAGAAGGGCTTCCCCCACCCAAATCAGTTGAGGCTTCTGTCCTGAGGTTGACCAGTCTCCATTTGGAGAACCACGGTTATTGGAGAATAACATGTGAAGAGAAGAATTCCCAAATGTTTGATGAACTTCACAAACTTAACACACCCGTGTATCTAGCACACAGATCAAGAAACAGCATTACCAGCACCTCAGAAGCTCCCTCCCCACAAGACAACCACTATTCTGACTTCTAATACCATAAATAAATTTGCTTGTACTTGAACTTAAAGTAAAAGAATCATATAGTATGTCCTCTTAGATTTGGCTTCTTTCACTGCACATTGTGAGATTTTTGCCTAATGCTACAAAAATAGTAGTTGTGGTTGATTCTCCTTGTTGTATAGCATTCCATTATGTGACTATACCACAATTCACTTGATGGGCATTTGAGTGGCCCATTTTTTGGCTATTATGAATAGTGCTGCTATGAACATTCTTCTACAGTCTTTTGGTGAGCTTATGTACATATGTGCTTAGTTATATACCTGGGAGTGCAACTGCTGGGTTAACTTGAGGGTTAACTGAGGCTCTTAGTACTGTGTTCATGTACTGGAAGTCAGCTTTTCGCTGTCCTGGAGTAGCTGAGTCTCTTCTGGATTCTATCACCCTTCACCCGCTTCAATCTCCTTACTAGACCTACCCCTCCTGGATTCTTGCATCTCATCGGGCCCTACTCTGAGAGACAGCAAGTCTTTACTATGTCCTTATATTGTGGGAGAGAAAACCTTCCCTTTATTTGCCCTTAAGCCAATGTTTGCTACTTCTCCCCAAAGTAGAAAGGGAATCTGGTAAGGGTCTTGAATTTCTTGGGTGAGAACTTCTTCCTGTGTGGAGATTTTTATCCTAGTCGGTGTGTTGGTG